CCACCATGGCAACACATGTAGTATAAGTCAGGTGCTGTCGCGCTGCAAACCCATTTGTTGAGAGAGGGAGGGAGAGAGAGAGGTGAGGCGGGGAAGAGGGGAGAGACAGACAGAGAGAGGGAGAGAGAGATGGGGGTGAGACGGGCGGGAGTGGGGGGGCTAGGGAAAACAGACAGGCTGTTAGCACAGGAAAAATATGTTATCGCCGTGGCAACGCAATGTGGCAACTCTCCATGGCAACAGCAGGTGGCTCAGGGGCTGAAATTTGCTGCTTCCGCTGCGTTTGTATGCGTGTGTGAACAGTAAATATCTGCGTGTGTGCGTCCATCTTTCCCCGGCATCTGGCGAGGTGAGAACCGCTTCACGAGTGCAGACGTGAATCCTCTCATTCAGCAACATAAAAACACAACTCGTGCTACAAAGGAAACTCTCCAAATGAGTGGAAGCAAGTTCACGGCGTTCCCCAGGTGTTTTCTGTGCCCTGTCTGTGTGTGTGTGTGATACCAGTGTTGACTGTGTTTGAGAGACGGCTCGTCTGACTGGGAGCTAAAGACCACTCAACCTGGAAAAGCCCCCCCCCAACGCTCTGTCTTTAAATTACAGATCCAGCAGCATCCCTTTTGTGTGTATGTGTGTGTGGAGATATCTCCAACTATGTGAGAAATGCCGTCATTACCTCCCTCATTAGTGGTGCAATGATCACCTAAACCGAGTCGCCGGCTTTGTGTTTTCCTGTGTGTGTGTTTTAATGTGTCGCGCGCGCCGTATACAGATCGGTCTTAAACATGGCTGTCTGGCATGAGTGCGTGTTAAGTGTTTGCGAGCTGATGATTTCTTTCTTTCTTTCTTTTTTTTTAATGTGTGTGAATGGACGAGTGGCGGGCGGTGGGGGGCTGTCATGAGAAATTACCCCCATGGACTACAGCGTCGAGGCTGTAATTCTCCGAGGTAATCACAGGGAATAATGGCAACAGTGGGACACCCGGGAATCTAATCACTATAATCAGAAGCACTGGCTTATGGGCTCAAATTCCTGCCTTGCTATCCGCCTCGTGATGAAGCCGGCTGGGCTGGTTGGCTGCTGCGACGCGATCAAATGATTGACCAGTTTTCTCTCCTCTCTCCTTTCTAGTCCTCCGTTGTGGTCGGGGAGTCCCCTCTTCAGAAAGAACGGAGGAGTACTCCTACAAGGTACTGTTTCACCTCCG